TTATAATACATCCCTTAGTCCATCTCATTCTTGTGGTTCAAAGTCCCTTATTAAATCCTAACTGATATATACACCATGTTCAAAACCAAAATTGTCCCAAACCTCCCCTTCTTCTAGTATCCTCATTGGGTTTTGATATTAAGTGTAAGCTAAATTTATAGAAAAAGTGAAAGAAATTTTCATTATTTTCTGCTCTTTATAATTTTTATCCTCATACTGTTTTATCTTTAGGGTTTTTCCCCTTAATTTCTTATATAGAATGCCAAACATTATTTTTTCTTACATTTTAAAATACTTACTGATTTATTTATTATTTACTTATTTATTTATCCTGCTCCACTACCTACTAACCATACAACCTACCCAACCAAAGTTTGTACCCCCAGCATCACTGTGTAAGATTTAATAAATTAATGCTGCCCAAATGACAAGCCTCCAAGCTTTTATGCCTGTAAAAGAGGGAATCATCCCCCTCTTGCTCACCTACACTCCATGGTCCTTGCAAGGATCTAATGATACTGATAGGTAGATGAAAACACTTTCATATTCCATAGTGCTGTTACAAGAAAGATTATCATTATGATGACAGGAACGGGGGACGACTAGTGGACATTTTGGCCATCCTGGGTTCCTTCCATCTTCATAGCAGCACGCAGATTTCATTTAAAAGTTTATTTCTCCCTCACTGGATACTGTCTTGGTGGGATGGTGAGCTCAAGTAAACATCTTTGTACTACACAAGCCAGCAGCAAAAGGAGCTTTCTGGGACCCTCCTATATTGAAACAAAAAAAATGAGAATATTGATATGTCATGGAGGATGTACCTGATTGGTCATTCTCATGTCACATTTTATCTCAGTATAGTTAACACACGATGTTACATTGGTTTCAGATGTACAACACAGAGATTCAGTTTCTGTAATACCTACCTGATACTATGTTCACCTATTTGTCACTATTTGTGGCTATTCAATGTTATTGTCATATTATTGACTATATGCCCTATGCTGTGCCTCTTATTCCTATGACCTATTTCATTCCATAACTGGAAGCTTGTATCTCCCACTCTCCACCCATTTTTCTCATCCCTGCACTCCCTTCCCTCTGACAACCACTCATCTTTTTTTCCATATTTATTGGTTTAATTCTGCTTTTTGTTTATTCATTTGTTTTGTTTCTTATATTCCACATATGAATGAGATCATATGGTATTTGTGCTTCTCAGTCTAATTTCACTTAGCATAAACCCTCTAGGTCCATCCATGTTGTGACAAATGGCAAGATCTCATCCTTTTTCATGGCTGCATAATATTCCTGTGGGGTTAGGTGTGGGTGTGTACAAACCACATATTCCTTATCCATCCATGTATCAGTGGACCCTTCGGTGGATTCCATATCTTGGCTATTATAAATAATGTTGCAAAAAACATAGGGGTGGGTGTATCCTTTCAAATTAGTGCTTTTATTTTCATTGGGTAAATACCCAGTGGTAGAATTATTGGATCATATGGTATTTCTATTTTTAATATTTTGAGGAAACTCAAAACTGTTTTCCACAGTAGTTGAACCAGTTTTATTTTCCACTGACAGTGTGCAAGCGTTCTTTTCTCTCCATGTCCTTGCCAACACTTGTTATTTCTTTTCCTTTTTATTCTAGCCATTCTGACAGGTGTAAATTAATATCTCATTGTGGTTTTGTTTCCCTGATGATGAGTGATATTGAGCATTTTATCATGTGTCTGTTGGCCATCTGTATTTCTTCTTTGGAAAAGTGAGTCTTTAGGTCTTTTGCCCATTTTTTTAATCAGATTTTTTTGGTGTTGAGTTGTATGAATTCTTTACCTATTTTGGATATTAACCCTTATCAGACATATCATTTGCAAATACCTTCTCCCATTCAATAGGTTGCTTTTTTGTTTTGTTTATAGTTTCCTTCACCGTGAAAATGCTTTTTATTCTGATGTAGTCCCAACGGTTTATTTTTGCTTTTGTTTCTCTTGCCTGGGATGACATATCTAGAAAAATGTTGCTGTGACAGATGTCAGAGAAATTGCTACCTATGTTTTCTTCTGGGATTTTTATGCTTTCAGGTCTCATATTTAGGTCTTTAATCCATTTCAAGTTTGTTTTTGTTTGTGGTCTTAAAAAGTGGTCCATTCATTGTTTTGAATGTAGCTGTCCAGTTTTCTCAGAACCATTTATTGAAGAGTCTGTCTTTTCCTCATTGTATATTCTTGTATCCTTTGTCATAGATTAACCATATAAGTAATGGTTTATTTCTGGGCTCTCTATCCTATTCTGTTGATCCTCATGTCTATTCTTGTGCCAGTACCATACTGTTTTGATTACTACAGCTTTGTAGTATATTTTGAAATCTGGAGTGTGTTAGCTCCAGTTTTGTTCTTTTTCAAGATTGACTTGGCTATTTGGGGTCTTTGGTAGTTCCATACAAGTTTTATGATTATCAGTTCTAGTTTTGTGAAAAAATACTGTTGGTATTTATATAGGGATGGTATTGACTCTGTAGATTACTTCGGGTACTATGGAAATTTTAAAAAATAGGTGTTCTCCCAATCCATGAGCATGGAATATCTTTCCTTTGTGTCATTTTCAATTTCTTTCATCAGTGTTTTACAGTTTTCAGAGTATAGATCTCTCAACCATTTGGTTAAGTTATTTCTAGGTATGTTATTATTTTTGGTACGATTGTAAATGAGGTTGTTTTCCTAATCTCTTTTTCTGGTACTTCATTATTAATGTATAGAACCACAACTTGATTTCTGGGTATTAATTTTGCATTACTTTCCTGAATTCATTTATCAGTTCTAGTAGTTTTTTGGTGGAGTTTTTAGGTTTTTTTGTATATAGATCTGCAAATAGTAACAATTTAACTTCTTCCTTACCAATATGGTTGCCTCATTTCTTTTTACTGTCAGTTTGCTGTGGCTAGGACTTCCAGTACTATGTTGAGTACAAGTGGTAAGAGTAGACATCCTTGTCTTGTTCCCGGTCTTAAGAACAAGTTCTCAATTTTTCCACATTGAGTATGATGTTAACTGTGGGCGTTACATTATGGCTCTTATTATGTTGAAGCATATCCCCTCTAAATCCACTTTGCTGAGAGGTTTTACGAACAGATATTGAAACTTGGTAAATGCTTTTTTTTAATCTACTAAGATGATCATGATTTTTACCTTTTATTTTGTTGATATAGTTTATCTCATTGAATTATTTGAAAATATTGAACCATCCTTGTATACCCAGAATAAATCCCATGTGATTGTGGTGAATGATCCTTTAATGTATTGATGAATGTGATTTATAATGTTTTATTGAGGACTTTTGCACCTCTGTTCATCAGGAATATTGGCCTGTAGTTTTCGTTTGTTTGTTTTTTGTTTTGTTTTTTTTTTTTTTTTGTTTTTGTGTCTGTGTCTGGTTTGATATCAGAGTAATGCTGGCCCCATAAAATATATTTGGAAGCTTTCCTTTCTGTTTTTTTTTTTTTTTTTTTTGTAATATTTTCAGGAGAATGGGTATTAACTCTTCTTTAAGTGTTTGGTAGAATTGGACACATACGTGGCTCAGTCAGTTAAGTGTCCACCTTCAGCTCAGGTCATGATCTTGCAGTTCATGATTTCCAGCCCCACATCAAACTCTGTGCTGACAGCTTAGAGCCCAGAGTCTGCTTTGGAGTCTATGTCTCCCTCTCTGTCTCTCCCTCACTCATGCTCTGTCTCTCTTTCTCAAAACTAAACATTAAAAATTTTTTAAATAATTAATAAATGAGTAAATGGTAAAATTTACCTGTGAATTCATCTGGTCCCAGAATTTTGCTTTTGGTAGTTTTTTAATGATTTAATTTGTTAGTAGCAATTGGTATATTCATGTTTTCTATTTCTGCCTGATTCAGTTTTGGAAGATTGCATGTTTCTAGGAATTTATCCATTTCTTATAGGTTGTCCAATTTGTTAGCATAGGGTTTTTGTGGTATTGTCTTACAATATTATGTATTGATGTGGTGTCAGGCATTACTTCTGCTCTTTCACTTCTGAGGGTTTTTTTCGGGGGTGGCGGGGGAGACCTTCTCTTTTTTTCTTGATTGGTCTAGCTAAGACTTTATATCAGTTTTATTTATCTTTCAAAAGAATCTGTTCTTGGTTTCACTGGTTTATTTTTCTTTTTGTCTCTCATTTATATCCACTTTGATCTTTATTATTCCTGTTTATATTCATCTTGGGCTTTGTTTTCTTTTCCTAGTCCATTAGATGTAATGTTAGGTTGTTTAAGATTTTCCTTGTTTTATGAAGGAGACCTGTATCGCTATATTGTCCCCTCTTAGAACAGCTTTTGCTGTGTCTCAAAAATTTTGGACCATTGTGTTTTCATTTTTATTTTTCCTCCATGTATTTTTTTTCATTAATCCATTGGTTGTTTAGTAACACATTGTTTAGTATCCACATATTTGTGGTTTTTTTTTTTTCCAGTTGCTGTGTTTGATTTCTATTTTCATATGTTGTGTTTGGAAAAAATGCATGGTATGATTTTAAATTTACTGAAACTTTCTTTGTAGCTTAATGTTTGAAACATTCTGTAGAATATCCCACGTGCACTTGAAAAGAATGTGTATTGTGACGTTTTAGAATGGAATGTTCTGTATATATCTGCTGTTTTGATCTGGCTTAATGTATCGTTCAAATACACTGTGTCCTTGTTGATTATCTGCCTGGATCATCTATCCATTGGTATAAATGGGGTTTTAGGGTCCTCCACTATTATTTTATTACCAACAGTTTCTCTTTTATGGCCATTTATATTTGTTTTATGTATTTAGATGCTCTAATGTTGGGTGCATAGATATTTACAATGGTTATGTCCTCTTGTTGGATTGACCTTTTCATCTTTATATTGTATCCTTCTTTGTCTCTGGTTACAGTCCTTATTTTAAAGTCTATTTTGTCTGGTCTTCTCGGCCCCTTAACCCTCGGACGGCGAGAGCCATGGCCCTGCCGCTGCTGCTTGGCAACAGCTTCAACCGCAATGTGGAAAAGAAGTTCCACAAATCTCAACATTGGGGCTTTTGCAACAATGTGAGAATGCTGGTGAGTGAAGATAAACCTGGAATAGGTGGAGAATTGCTTCCTGGGAAAAAGGTGAAGCCTAACTACAGTGACTTTCCTAAAGGAATGGGAAGCACCGTGCCATCCTGGATCGCTTGTGATAAGCAGGTATTATCTTTTGATGCCTATTTAGAAGATGAATTTCCTGATAAAACTCAAGAAAAGTATAGAATAAGACGCTATAAAATCCTCTTCTACCTCGAAGATGACACAATTCAAGTGAATGAACGAGAGTTGAAAAATAGCGGACTGCCTAAAGGGACTTTTATCCGGCGTCACCGGATTTCTCTCCCACCTCCTGATGAAGATCAGTTTTATACTGTGTATCATTTCAATATCAACATAGACGTTGTCTTTTATGGCCGGACATTCAAGATTTATGATGCTGATACGTTCACAAAAAACTTCTTGAAGAAAATAGGAGTCAAATTAAACCCCCCAGGACGGTGTCCAGAAGATCCTTACATGAAGATACAGAGAGAGAAGCTAGACCGCATGGAGCCCTTACGTCCCTATGAGTCCTATGACACCCGGAAACAGTTCCTTGAGTGTGATAGGAAGGTTTTACGTTTTTTCTGCCTGTGGGACGACTCAGCCTCGATGTTCGGGGACCGTCGAGAACTCATTCTGTATTACTTTCTGTGCGACGATACCATCGAAATCAAAGAAGTGGTGCCACCCTCCTCAGGCCGGGATGCCACATCGTTGTTCCTCCGGAGGAGAAAGCTACCCAAGCTCGGGAAAGTAGACCAGGAGTTTTACAAAGACAGTGACCTGTTCATAGGAGCCACCATCAACGTGTGGGGAAGAAAAGTGCTTCTTTGCGACTGTGATAACTTTACGAAGACCTATTACAAGACTAAATATGGAATTGAGAACTTTACCTCGATTTCGTGCAAGGCTCCTCCTCCTCCTCCAAAGATGGAAAGGAAATTTCCACCTTATAACGGCTTTGGTTCCGAAGAGGATTCTCTCCGCACCTGCATGGGCCTTGTGCCCACGCCTCCTCGGAGGAACTTTAAGAAGTTCATGGAGAAGAACAGCTATGGCAACAAAAGCAATATACTCCGGTTTTTTGCAAAACTAATCACACACAAACGTGTGGAACGGGACAGGAAGTTTGTCATTTCGTACTTTCTCAGCGATGACACGATTTCAGTGTTTGAACCTGTAGAGAGGAATTCAGGGTTTACTGGTGGGATGTTCCTGAAAAGAATGCACGTTAAGAAGCCTGGACAAGAAGTCTTTAAAAGCGAACTATCAGAATACATCCAGGCCAAGGACCTGTATATCGGAGCCAGAGTGAACTTGAATGGCTACCTGTTTCACTTGCTCAACGCTGACGAGTATACCTTACGCTACATGGAGGAGAATTCAGATCAGTTTCCCATGAGCAGCATTGAACTCGTCCTACAAAAGCTGAAAGAAGAACAATCAGAATCCAGAGAGCTCAAGCACTTATTTAGAAATGCTGACCCCAAGCTTACAAAGAGAGTGGATTATAATACATTCAGAGACATAATGATGACTCTAACCACTGGGAGACTCCTAGAACATGAATTTATAACCCTTGCACGTCACTACGGGGTGCCCGAGGACACGTGTCCTGGTATGAACATCCTAATGGCACAGGCCCACGAACAACTCAAGAAAAATACTTTTGAGAATTTTGAAAGACTCATTGCTACTTGTGTCTATGAAGATCGAGAAAAGAAAAAAGTGCTACCCACCAAAGACATCAGAAGGCTGTGCAAATCCTTCAGGTTACCTCTGCCTGATCACCTCCTGGGATCCATACTATCCGGGTTTCAAGACCGTGAAAAACAAATAAATTACGAGTTATTTTTCTCTGCCCTGAACTGGAGAACGAATCCGATGCCCGAATTGCAAGCGGTACCGTTTACTAAAGAGAGATGTGAAGATGTCTGGCTCGGGATGCCATCACCTATTCCTGTGAAATATGTTGACTCTTTTAGACTTTTAAAGGATGTATTTGGGGGCGCCTGGGTGGCGCAGTCGGTTAAGCGTCCGACTTCAGCCAGGTCACGATCTCGCGGTCCGTGAGTTCGAGCCCCGCATCAGGCTCTGGGCTGATGGCTCAGAGCCTGGAGCCTGTTTCCGATTCTGTGTCTCCCTCCCTCTCTCTCTGCTCCTCCCCCGTTCATGCTCTGTCTCTTTCTGTCCCAAAAAAAACGTTGAAAAAAAAAATTTAAGGATGTATTTGGCCTAGTGGAAGAGTAACTGTATGCCAATTTTTGGTCAACTCCCTTTGATCTCCTGCTCTCGTTTTACTAAGTTTATTTCACCAGATACAATTTCATTTAAAAAAAAAAAAAAAAAGCAAGGTTCATACTGAATTGAAATCCATAGATCACAATTGATTTCCTTTTGTTGTTTTCGCATTTCAGAACATCATATGGCACGGCTGATGTGCCAGCATGATTAAAAATGCCATTTAAGGAAACG